TGCAGCCCCAGCATCACCCAAAGCCCAGCCACAGGATGCAGCTGAAGGCAAGTTGTTAACTGGCAACTCTAGAACTCCATGCAGTGCTGCTGGCTCCTCGTCCTGCTTCCATCATCCCCATCATCACCTTCCCCTTCTGGCATGCTGGCCACATGCCATTGCAAAGCACCGCTGGCCCTTTGCAGAGCCCTGGCGGTGCCTGGCTCTCCTCTCTCTCGCTGTCCCTGAGAGCCAGCCTGCTGTCTTCTGACCAGGGCTGCCTTCTCCTGCCCGACTTAGCCAAGGGGGGGTCACATCCTCATGGTGTTACCGTTCTCCCTGAGCCTGTCCTGCGTGGCCAGCAGGGCCTGGCCGCATTCCAGTGCAGCTTCGTGCGATGCCGGTGTGCGGCCGTGCTGGCAGCAGCCTCCAGACACAACAGTTTATGGGCAGGAAAAACTTCCCATCCTTGCACAGCAGTTGTGGGACAGCTGGGACACGCACCCACCCCACGTGGAGCCTTGATCTGGGGGCACAGTGGGCTCATCCTAACCAAGCCCTACTGCAGTGGGACCACTTGCCTCCATCAACCCCGCAACTGGGACCATCCCCCTCGCTTTGGGCATCCCCAGAGCCACTGGGCAGAGAGGGCAGCTCGTGGGTCATGGCTTCACCCTGATGTCATACTTTGATTCCTTTTCCTGCAGGGATGTGGCTTTGGGCAGCAGCAGGATAGGGGGTGCTGCAACCTGTCCCCTGCGGCATGGAGGAGCTGGGGGTCTGCTGCCTGTTCCCCTTGCATGAATTGCAGCCTGGTGGGGCTGGCACAGCTGTCTCCCACCCCAGATCCTTTGGAACAGGTCAGTAGGAGGTAAGGGGTGATCAGTTACCCACTCTGGCCTACTTTGTGGCCCCTGGGCTTGCTGGGGTGTCCCATGGGGTGGCACAGGGGTTCCCCAAGGCTGCACTGTGAGTGTGATGCTGTCCCTCTGGGCTGTCCCAGAGCTGACTGGAGATGATGGCAAGGGGTCATGGGCCCCTTTCCCAGGATGCTGGTACTGAGTGGCTGGGTGCCACAGCATAGAGCTGGCAGTGAGTGGTGCAAGGAGACATTCCTGGAGCGTGTCCCAACTGGTCCCTGTGGCAGGCGAGGTTCCCCCTCCGGGCTCTGGCCAGCTTCTCTTCTCCTCACCCACCTCGGCACCAGCTCCCCGCTGCTCACCTCTGTCTGAAAGCTTCCCAATTTAAAAGTGCCTGGAGAGGGGGGTTCTCTCTCCCAGCACCCACAGAGCTGCCCCATGCATTCCCACTGGCTGGGGAAGGCCTGTGTCATGCTGGAGTGAGGAGCACTGCAGGATCACTGTAGGACTAGAAAACTGAAATCCTGTAAGAGTTGTGCTGAATCCCAGCCTGTGTTGGATCAGCACCAGAGGCAGTGGCTGTGGGGTGTGGAGGGGGTGAGCAGAGGATAGGGCACAGACCCCACAGCACTACAAGCACAGCTGGCTCTGCATCCCAGCACTCGTCTCACCGTGCAGCATCTCACCATGATGTATGTATGACTCATCCCACCCGGGAGAGCTAAAACCTCACCTGGGGCTGAAGAAAACAGATTCACTTCTTGCTTCCCACTAAAGCAGCGGTGAGGCCTCACGCCTGGCAAGTGTGGGCAGGGAGAAGCTCAGCCCTGGTGCTTCCCTTGTGTGCACTCTCAAACTGGGGGGGCTCCTATGCCTGGGGGTGGCGTGACCTCCTGCTTGCCTGAGCAGGGTCAGTGGGACCTGGGGATATGTTTTTTGTCTTCTTGTGATCTGATGGGCTGGTGAGTGGCATTTGGGGACCAGGATGGCATGCACAGGCAGGAAGCTGGGGTCAGGGTCAGCCCTACAAACTTTTATTAGTGTCAGGGAAGAGGAGTCAGCGTGCTTTGGGGCTGAGCCAGCTGGGAGATGGGGAACCCCAAGTCTGGGCTACAGGAGTGACTGGTGGCCTGGCTGCCAGCCTGCCAGGCTTCAGGAAGGGCTGACAGCCTCTCGGGATGTTCCCGGAGGGACAGGCTGCAGCGTGAGTCACTCGCACCTGGTGCTCTCGCTCTGCAGAGGCAGTACCGTCCCGCGCCGCGGGCCGCGGATTCCTTCCCTGGCCCTGGTATGCAGGGGAAGCTGGGAAACACCGCAGAGGGGGAGGCACCCTGGTTTTGGGGACCCAGCACACCTGCGTACCCCCATCCAGTGCCAAGGTAAGCAGAATGCTGCTGGCAAGATGGTCAAGATGCTGTCCATGGGGGATTGGGGTTTGGGGACCACCCCAAATTGGTGCCTTCCACAGTCGTGGGGGCCGAGGTGGCAGGCAGAGCCCCTGGCATGGCTGTGAAGTGTCGCTGTCCCGGTGCCGCTGCCTGCGGTGCCCGCTGGGCGATGCTCGCCCCAGCGCTGCCCCCGTTTGCCGGGGTGACCCCCGGCCGCCCGTGCCCTGTCGCCGGCACCGCGCCTTGGGGCTGCTCCACCAGCTCCGGGCCCGGGGCCAGACACGGCGCCCTTGGCAGGCCCCTCCGCTCCCTGTTTAACGAAGCCCCTTGTCTAATTGGGACAGGCTGCCTTGTCTTCATTAAACGAGCTCTGGCTGGAGGAGGGTTTGGGGATGGTCCTGACCTGAGGATGCGGGACTCACGGCCGGACTCACAGGGCTGGGGCAGGCAGGGGGAAACCTGTGACCACGGTGAACCTCGGAACCCCCCGGCCAAGTGTGGGGGCCAGGGCTGGGGTCTAAGGAGAGGAGGGCTAACGAAGAGGAGGGGATGCACTGCTTGCTGCGCCTTTAAGAAGAGCTGGGGCATCGCCACTCCTCCCCTGCTCGGGAACAGCGTGTGCCTGGGAAAGTTGCCTACAGCCGACCCTGGAGCATCTTTGCTCCGTGGCCGGTGGCCCTGCCCCGGGCCCCCAGCTGTGAGGTGGCCCTGGGTCCCAGCGACCCCCACTGTCGCTCTCCTTGCTGCCTGCAAGAAGATGCCCCGGGACCTACCCACTGCCCTGCCAGGAGCCGGAGGGGAGCCCCTGCACCAGTGGCTGGGAGGGCACAGGTATGTGAGGTGCTGGGGACAGGGGAATGTTGGGTGACCAAGGGGACAGAGCACAGGTGGCATGAGGTGCAGGGCAGGGCCATGAGCCAGGGTCAGCCTCAGGTGAGCACAGACACCAGGGGGGAGGATGGGGTGCAGTGTGATGTGCCCCAAGGAGCAGCGTGGCCCCACAGGGTGCCCTGGGGGTCAGGGGTGCACCCTGGGCTGTGGAGGAGCCCCAGGGCACAGTTCCACCAGTCACTGGGTGGGTAGGAAGTGAGACCAGGGCAACATGAGGTCCCTGCTCACCTTGCTGGGCATCCTTTCCCTATTCCCTCCTCCCAGCAACTGCAGCCACATCTTCAGTGGCCAGTTTCTCCAGCTCTGGGGTAGGTTTCAGGTACTGGTCTGCTCTGATAACTGTTGGGAGATGATGTCTAGAGCAGGGCAGGAGGATGCCCCACAGATGGCTCCAGGGCAGTTCCTGTACAAGAACAGTGGGTACTAGAGCCCTACATGCTCCTGCCCCCAAGCTGTGGGGGCAGGAAAGGTCCCAGCCAAGGCCTGGCGGTCCTGAAGCCTTGTGGGAGCTCTGCTGGTGTGGTGAGCAGCCCTTCACCACCATTGTTCTTCCCAGGGCTGGTGCTCAGAGTCAGCCTCTAACACGGAGGGGGTCAGGGGCTCAGGTCCCTGTGGCAGCTCCATCCAGCTCTGCCCAAGGTGAGGCCCTGGCGTCACATTCTCCTGAGATGGATGGAGGTGAGCAGCCAGCTCCTGGCTGGCAGGTCCCAGAGCTGCTCATTTTCCCGGAGGATGCAGATGCTGGAGGGAAAACTGCCTTGGGCCTTACTGGAGTCCACTCGGCCCCTCAACGAGGTCTCGG